TGTACATGGGCCATCATCGCTCTTCTGGCTGTGGACCTGGTGGGGGGCAGTAGTAGTAACACACTTCAATCACCTGTGTACATGGGCCATCATCGCTCTCCTGGCCTGTGTACATGGGCCACCTGCTGTACCTGTGTACATGGGCCATCATCGCTCTCCTGGCTGTACCTGTGTAAATGGGCCATCATCGCTCTCCTGGCTGTACCTGTGTACATGGGATCGCTTGGGGGGGGGGTACCTGTGTACATGGGCCATCATCGCTTTTCCTTTCCTGTACCTGTGTACATTTGGGCCATCATCGCTCTGCATTGGCTGTACCTGTGTACATGGGCCATCATCGCCTCCTGGCTGTACCTAATGTACATGGGCCATCATCGCTCTTCTGGCTGTACCTGTGTACATGGGCCATCATCATCGCTACTGGGCCATCTGGCTGTACCTGTGTAATGGATGGGCCATCATCGCTCTTCTGGCTGTACCTGTGTACATGGGCCATCATCGCTCTCCTGGCTGTACCTGTGTACATGGGCCATCATCGCTCTCCTGGCTGTACCTGTGTACATGGGCCATCATCGCTCTCCTGGCTGTACCTGTGTACATGGGCCATCATCGCTCTCCTGGCTGTACCTGTGTACATGGGCCATCATCGCTCTCCTGGCTGTACCCTGTGTACATGGGCCATCATCGCTCTCCTGGCTGTACCTGTGTACATGGGCCATCATCGCTCTCCTGGCTGTACCTGTGTACATGGGCCATCATCGCTCTCCTGGCTGTACCTGTGTACATGGGCCATCATCGCTCTCCTGGCTGTACCTGTGTACATGGGCCATCATCGCTCTCCTGGCTGTACCTGTGTACATGGGCCATCATCGCTCTCCTGGCTGTACCTGTGTACATGGGCCATCATCGCTCTCCTGGCTGTACCTGTGTACATGGGCCATCATCGCTCTCCTGGCTGTACCTGTGTACATGGGCCATCATCGCTCTCCTGGCTGTACCTGTGTACATGGGCCATCATCGCTCTCCTGGCTGCGTTCCAGGCATGTGAGGGTTAAGGAGACAGAGGAAGCCGGTGATAGTAATCCCTCCCCATCCTTTTTTTTTTTTTTTTCCCCCTCAGACCCATCCCCCCCCCCCCCCCCCCCCCCCCCCCCCCCCCCCCCCCCCCTTCTGGTGGCTTTATGGCAGCTTTGATCTCTGCTTGCTAAAACAATTGATGACTTCAGAGAAGGTAAACGAGTTGCAGCAGAAAATGTCCAAATCCACCAATCAGACCCGAGATTACTGGCTGCAGGAAATGTTCCCGGGGTGTTAAGGAGGGGCGGGGGGCAGCAGATCGGGCATCAGATCGGGCGGGGGGGCAGCTGATCGGGCGGGGGGGCAACAGATCGGGCGGCGGGGGGGCAGCAGATCGGGCGGGGGGCAGCAGATCGGGCGGGGGGCAACAGATCGGGCGGGGGGCATCTGATCGGGCGGGGGGCATCTGATCGGGCGGGGGCAACTGATCGGGCGGGGGGCAGCAGATCGGCTCATCATCCTGGTTACTTTTGGAAGCTGCTTTTTTACTTTTTGCACTTTATTTTTTTTTTTCTTCATATAACTATTTTATATTTCTTTTGTTAATATTGTTTGTTTTGTTGCTGAGATATTGATATACAAATAAATGTACAGAATCTGATACTCGGAATGGTCACACCGGGTGCGATTTGCATGGCGTACGTCTTGCAAGTCGCACCCTCTTGTCCGCCATTACAGCGGTCACATCGGCGCGGTTCCGACTTGGCGGGAGCCGCAACGATTTCTAAAGTAGTACACGCGCCGCTTTCGGTGCGATTCTGTGTCGGACGTCTTGCAAATCGGCGTGTCGTTCGACTTTGAAATCGTGCGACTACACTGTAAGTTACACCATTTCAAGTTGGGGGTCACCGGGGTGTAAGGCGCGCTTCACTGCCGCCACTTGGGATGCGACTTGTGAGACCCCCCCCAAGTCACATGACACGTGAAATCCCATATTACCCCGGGTTCACACCTGTGCGTTTCTGGAAAACGCACAGCACTCCATTTAACAGGTTTTCCTATGGGACGGGTTCACATCTCCGTGTCTTCACCCCAGTGCGTTTTTTTTTTTTTTTTTTTTTTTTCTTTTGTTTTTTTTTTTTCTTTTTTTACCACTCCCTATCCAGCCATTGTATATAAACACCATGGTGACACTGTACTATCTGTGGGGGGTGATAAAGATTTTTTTTTTTTTTACACCCATAAAGGCTGTAAGAGGAATCGTTTCTTCTTCTCTCTGGCTGCATTCTGCAGCCATTGAGAAATACTGTGAGAGCTGTGATTGGTCACAGCTTGTCACACGGTACAAGGCTGTTGTGAATGGCCCTGTACCATGTGACCTCTGTGATCATTCACAGATTTCACACGTAGTAAGCAATGATGTCAGAAGTGACCTCTTGCTTACTACTCCGCATGTGATCCCTGATTGGTCAATCAGGGATCACATGATCGGGACCTCGCAGAGAGATCCCGTACGACGATCGGTGTTCCGGAGGACACAGTGGGCACCGGATCGCTCCCAGGGAGCGCGCACAAGCAGGGGGTGGGGAGGCCGTTTATAAAGACCCGCCCTGCACTGCCACCGTCTAACCGTTTATATACGACGGCCGGACGGGGGGAGGTGGTTAATGGAAGTCGCCTCCGAGTCGCATCTTCATCTATATTGAGGTGATTTGGATCCGACGTTACAGGAAGATTACCCAGCATGCCCTGAAAGTCACTTCAAAGTCGTCAGGCAAAGTCGCACTACTTTCAGGTCGCAGTAGCATGAGCCGAGACGAATGGCCAGTTCACTTCTGCGCTGCAGCACCGCGTGTTGTGTGCGTCGGTGCGCTACATCAGATCAATGTACCTTCACAGCTGCTGTGCTAGAAAATCAGTTTTTTGGGTTTTTTTCTTTTTTTTGAAGGAACAGGCTGGCTTAATGCAACGCACAGGGGCGTACTGACAACTCATGGGGCCCCCGGGCAATATGGGATCATGGGGCCCCCTGTGTCCTTGCCCAAACTCAAAAAGCCTATGAAAAAGGTACCAGAGGCATCTCATGGGGCCCCCTACTGACCCCGGGGCAATAGGGGATCATGGGGCCCCTGTGTCCTTGCCCAAACTCAAAAAAGCCTATGAAAAAGGTACCAGGGGCATCTCATGGGGCCCCCTACTGACCCCGGGCCCTCGGGCAGTGCCCGAGTTTCCAAATGGTCAGTCCGCCCCTGGCAACGCATGATAGCCGGCAACATAACGCGCTGCAACCAACCTGACGTGTGAATGGGCCCTGTGCGATTTTTAGGTGGTATTTAAACAAAAAAAAAATGTCATATTGCAGCTTACCAAATCAGTAGATGTGGCGGCCGCATTAGTTTTCTTCTTTTTCGCCTTTCTCCCCTCTGTTTTCACCTGGTGATCCGGCCAGTGACGCACCTCCTGTATTAGAGCGTGATTCCAATGGAGGCAGGTCACCTGGCCGCGCCATAGAGCCGTCACAGGAGCACCAACCTCCGCTTGTCAGAATGCGGGCACAGAAGCGGACGGGGCGCGGTCAGCGATTCGGCCGGGGATATGTCGATGGATTCCCCCGCTGAATGGAAGGACCACGAGGTCCAAAAATGGATCTGTAGTAGAAGGGGTACCGGGTTGGCTACAAATTGGAAGGATTGTGGCCTTTTACGTTCGGGTTAGGAGTTTGTACAATCGGGTCGAGTCCTGCCCGTGATACTTTTATTATTTAGGGCAGCAAGTGGTTAGCACTTCCACCTGGCAGTACTCGGGTCGTTGGTTCAAATCCCAACCACGGCACCACCTGCGTGGAGTTTGCATGTTCTCCCTGTGACTGCGTGGGTTTTCTCCGGGTACTCCGGTTTCCTCCCACACTCCAAAGACATGCTGGGAGGTTGATTGGCTCCTGTCTAAATTGGTCCTAGTATGTGTGAGTTAGGGACCTTAGATTGTTTGCTCCTCGGGGGCGGGGACTGATGTGAATGTACAATATATGTAAATTGACGGAGCTATAGAAGTACCTGAAATAAATAACAAATTATTAGCACTAACATCCAGTTTTTCAGGACAGGCTTTCGGGGTGTGGCCCCCTTCTTCTAGGCCCAAGTGGTACCCCTCGAAGAAGGGGGAGCGCCCAGAAAAGCTTGTCCTGAAAATATGGAAGTTAGTGCAAATAATAAAAGTATCGCGGGCAGGACTCCATTGTTCTTGTTCCAGTATACGGCTCCAAGTTCAGATTGTAATGTGTGGGGCCAGACTGGGAGATTCGATCGTCTGAATTTCGGTAATCCTTGGCAGATGTATGGTAACCTGATCAATGTTGGATTGGGATGACCAGAAGCGGACTGACTGACCGTTCGGGCCCGGGGTCAGTAGAGGCCCCCATGAGATGCCCCTGGTACCTCTTTTTCATAGGCTTTTTTTGGGTGTGGTTTGTGTGGGTGAGGGCACGGCCCCCCATAATTTTCTATTGCCCGAGGGCCCCATAAGTTGTCAGTCCACCCTTGGGGATGACTGAACGGCATGGGGTTACTGCACTCTTTATTGAAGGCTACACCTTGTTCCCGTGTGTACAATCGGCTGCTTTTATGTCCGTCTTGTTGAGTTGTACTCCTTGGTGATTGTGATGTCTGTCTAGTGCAAGACAGAGGAACCCCTAAGATAACGTTCAAGTTTCGGGGAACCCCTGCTAAAAATGGCTATATCTACAACTCGTGATACTTCAATGCGATGGTCAGTGAGAAGAATGTCCCTTACATTGGGGGTCAGTGGGAAGAATGCCCCTTACATTGGTGATCAGTGGGAAGAATGCCCCTTACATTGGGGTCAGTGGGAAGAATGCTCCTTACATTGGGGGTCAGTGGAAGATGTCCCTTACATTGGGGGTCAGTGGGAAGAATGTCCCTTACATTGGGGGTCAGTGGGAAGAATGTCCCTTACATTGGGGTCAGTGGGAAGAATGTCCCTTACATTGGGGGTCAGTGGGAAGAATGTCCCTTACATTGGGGGTCAGTGGGGGAAGAATGTCCCTTACATTGGGGGTCAGTGGGAAGAATGCCCCTTACATTTGGTGGGAAGAATGCCCCTTATCAGTGGGAAGAATGCCCCTTACATTGGGGGTCAGTGGGAAGAATGTCCCTTACATTGGGGGTCAGTGGGAAGAATGTCCCTTACATTGGGGGTCAGTGGGAAGAATGTCCCTTACATTGGGGGTCAGTGGGAAGAATGCCCCTTACATTGGGGGTCAGTGGGAAGAATGTCCCTTACATTGGGGGTCAGTGGGAAGAATGTCCCTTACATTGGGGGTCAGTGGGAAGAATGTCCCTTACATTGGGGGTCAGTGGGAAGAATGTCCCTTACATTGGGGGTCAGTGGGAAGAATGTCCCTTACATTGGGGGTCAGTGGGAAGAATGTCCCTTACATTGGGGGTCAGTGGGAAGAATGTCCCTTACATTGGGGGTGGGAAGAATGTCCCTCACATTGGGGGTCAGTGGGAAGAATGTCCCTTACATTGGGGGTCAGTGGGAAGAATGTCCCTTACATTGGGGGTCAGTGGGAAGAATGTCCCTTACATTGGGGGTCAGTGGGAAGAATGTCCCTTACATTGGGGGTCAGTGGGAAGAATGCCCTTACATTGGGGGTCAGTGGGAAGAATGTCCCTTACATTGGGGGTCAGTGGGAAGAATGTCCCTTACATTGGGGGTCAGTGGGAAGAATGTCCCTTACATTGGGGGTCAGTGGGAAGAATGTCCCTTACATTGGGGGTCAGTGGGAAGAATGTCCCTTACATTGGGGTCAGTGGAAGAATGTCCCTTACATTGGGGTCAGTGGGAAGAATGTCCCTTACATTGGGGGTCAGTGGGAAGAATGTCCCTTACATTGGGGTCAGTGGGAAGAATGTCCCATTGGAGGTCAGTGGGAAGAACGTCCCTTGCATTGGGGTCAGTGGAAGAATGTCCCTTACATTGGGGATCAGTGGGAAGAACGTCCCTTACATTGGGGGGTCAGTGGGAAGAACGTCCCTTACATTGGGAAGAATGCTGAAAAGATCAATGGTGTCTGTGGGAACTCTCCTGAGAGGCAGAAATTGTTCATTGCTCAAGGAACCCCTGGCAACCTCTGGAGGAACCCTAGGGTTCCACAGAACCCTGGATGAGAAACCCTTCTCTAGTGGTTACCAGCCATGCAGCTCAGACATTCCAAGTTGCATTCTCATTCTGCATTCTCATTCAGGACATGGCTTCGTAGAGTCTTTTGTTCCATCGTTGCTTGGTTGGGTTCCCTTCCACCGTGGAAAGATTTACTGGACTGTTAATCGAATTCCACCCAAAATGGCCCAACTGCATGTGTCCACATTAGATGAGCGTTGACCAATCTAGAAGATGATCTCCTTTTCTGTGGGTTCTTCCAGATGGTTGCTACTAGAAGCGGGGTGACCCGTCAGGCAAGTTAGAAAACCTGTCCCGGTTATTATTGCTCTCTCCCTCAGATAAGGAATGGCGCTCCTCTCCCCTCACCGGTCACATCTCCATGGTTGGTGGAACCAACCTTGCACGCCCATGGATCGCTCTGCAGTCCTACCTAAAGCTACCCTGTCAGTGAGTGGAGAAAATGTAACCAATGCCAACCTTTTAAAGGGAGGTGATGCATGCTTGCCTACTGTAGAAAATGACCCTTCCAGTGTGGAAGCAGTGGCCTTTCTGCAGGGTGCCATCGCGCCCCATGTTGCGTCATGCAGTGGCTCTACAAATGGGGAGAACATATCTTCCCCACTGGTAGGAAAGCTCATGCTCTGACTCAGCAGAGAACATTGACAAAGCGTGGGTTCACTTTTCTGCTGTAGAGAAGGACCCTTGCTATGGAAGCGGTGGTCTCTCTGGGAAGTTCTAACATGCCCCCCGTTGAACCCATACCTCATGCTCTGCAGTCAGCGAAACCCCTGTTTCCCACTAATAGGGAAGCTCCTGCTCTGGCTCGGCAGAAAGCATGGACAAAGGCGTAGGTTCACATGTCTACTGTAGAGAAGGACCCTTGCTATGGAAGCAGTGGTCTCTCTGGAACGTTCCTCCTGTTGGATCATACCCTAAGCTCTGCAATCAGCAAAACCTATGTTCCCCACTAATAGGAAAGCTTCTGCTCTGACTTGGCAGAGAGTATGGACAAAGCTTAGGTTCACTAGGTGGCTGTAGAGAAGGACCCTCACTATGTGGAAGCAGTGGTCTCTCTGGGAAGTCCCAACATGCCCCCTGTTGAACCATACTTCCAAGCTCTGCTATCAGCAACACTAATGTTCCCTACTGATAGGAAAGCTCCTGCTCTGAGTTGGCCAAGAGCAATGACAAGGAAAGGTTCACTTGACAGCTGTTGAGAAGGACCCTTGCTCTCTATGTGGAAGCAGTGGTCTCTCTGGAAAGTTCCCCCTGTTGGATCACACCCTACGCTCTGCAATCAGCAAAACCCATGTTCCCTACTGATAGGAAAGCTCCTGCTCTGAGTTGGCAAAGAGCATGGACAAAGCATAGGTTCACTTGACAGCTGTTGAGAAGGACCCTTGCTCTCTATGTGGAAGCAGTGGTCTCCCTGTGAAGTTCTAACATGCCCTCTCTGTTGAACAATACCTCGCGCTCTGCGATCAGCATAACCCATGTTCCCCACTAATAGGAAAGCTCCTTCTCTGACTCGGCAGAAAGCATGGACAGAGCATAGGTTCAGTTGTCTGCTGTAGAGAAGGAGCCTTGCTATCTGGAAGCAGTGGTCTCTCTAGAAAGTCCCCCCTGTTGGATCATACCACAAGCTCTGCAATCGGCAAAAACCATGTTCCCTACTGGTTGGAAAGCTTCTGCTCTGATTCGGCAGGGGGTATGGGCAAAGCACAAGTTCGTTCTGCAATCCCATATCGATTCAATTATACAATGGGGGTTTTATTATTTAAGGAAGACAAAGTGTCTGTGAAGGTTCTTGCCTATCCAGGTCATGGTGTCACTCGGTCTTTCTTGACCTTTATATCATGTAGGAACCCTTAAAATAGCAATCAGGTCTCGGGGATCTCCTGCTGATAATTTTGTATCTACACTTAAGCCGGCCATTGATGGTTCGAATCTTGGTCAGTTCAGCAGGCACCAGCTGAGATTCAATCCATGTATGGGTAGGTTGAATGTACCCAAGTTGATCCATCAACCAGCATGTCTGACTTCTAGCTTGCGATTATTGCCAGCGGCTAACGGTAATCACTGTGTTCTCCTGGCAGCGACTGGGCCCCCCCTTTGGAACTAAAGCAAGCCATTGATTGCTCAATGTCCCCCATCAACACTGACTGAGTCCCTCCCGCAGTGCTATTGTGTTCTGCCAGCAAGGAGCCTTCCCTGCTGGCAGAACCGAATGATCACTGCCATCGGCTATAGCCACCAGCAGTGATCTCAAGCAGAAAATCTGACAGGCTGGTTGTACCGAAATTGATCGATCAACTTCAGTACAACCAGCCTGCCCACAGATGGAACAAATCGTGGCTGGTCCAAGTTGAACTGGCTGAGATTCCATTCATCTATGGCCGGCTTTAGGGCTGCCTTAAATAACAAAATTTGCCATCAGTGATCCGTAAACCGCTTTGATCCTCGGCCAGCCAATTGTAAGAATGTTCCTTATATTTGATGGTCATTGAGAAGATTTCAGCCTATAGTAGTAGTGGGAAGAATGATCTCTTGTGCATAGCTAAGAGATCAGTGGTGTCAGTGGGAACTCTTCGAGGCAGAAATTGTTCATTGCTGAAGAACCCCTCACAACCTCTGGAGGAACTGCAGTTGAGAGAGGCTGGTAGTGGTTATTCCCATTCAACTGGACTGGTTCAGTAATGTTGAAGACATTTTGGAGCTTCTTCTAGCCTCTTCAGTTCTTGATGACGTGGCTTATAGATGCTTCAGGAACTGAAGAAGCGGCTTGGAGAAGCTTTATAGTGGTTGGTCACATTCAGCTGGACTTGTTCTGTAGTGCTCAAGATGTTTTGTAGTTCCCCCAACCTTCTTCTTTAGTCCCTGTTTTTGAGAGAGACTGGTATTGCTAGCAGTTGTTCACATTCAGTTTGGACTTGTTCAGTAATGTTAAAGGTGTTGCATAGCTTCTCCAGCTACTTCTGAAGATGTGACTTACAGAAGCTTTATGAATGGAAGAAGTGGCTTGGAGAAGCTTAGTAGTAGTTGGTTACATTCATCTGGACTGGTCCTATAATGTTGAAGATGTTTCATAGTTTCTCAAAGCTTCCTCAGTTCCTTTACAAGAATCTTCGGTAAATGAAAGACGTGGCTTGGAGAAGCTTAATTGTTATTATTCAGCTGGACTTCTTTTGTAATGCTGAAGATGTTTCGTAGCTTATCAAAGCCACTTCTTAAGTTCCTGTTCCTTTTAGCCAGAAGATGTAGCTTCTTTAGCCGCTTCTTCTGTTCCCAAACACATGGCTTACGAAGCTTCAGGAACTGAAAAACAGGTTTGAGGAAGCTTGGTAGTAGTTGGTTACATTCATCTGGGCTGGTTCTGTAATTTTTGAAGATGTTCCATGGCATCTCAAAGCCACTTCCTGAAGAAGAGGCTTAGAGAAGCTTCAGGAACTGAAGAAGTGGCTTGGAGAAGCTTTATTGGTAGTTGGTTACATTCATCTGGACTTGTTCTATAATGTTGAAGGTGTTTCATAGTGTCTCAGTCACTTCTTCAGTTCTTGGAGAAGCTTAATTATTCAGCTGGACTTACTGTGTGATGCTGAAGATGTTTCGTAGCTTATCAAAGCCACTTCGTAAGTTCCTGTTGAGAGAGGCCGGTATTGCTAGCAGTCGTTATTGACATTCAACTGGAGTTTGTTGAAGCTGTTTCGTAGTTTCTTCTAGCAGGAAGACATAGCGTTTTTGGCTGTTTCTTCTGTTCCTGAACACGTGGCTTAAAGAAGCTTCAAGAAGTGGCTTGGAGAAGCTTAGTAGTTGGTTACATTCATCTGGGCTGGTTCTGTAATTTTTGAAGATGTTCCATAGCATCTCAAAGCCACTTGCTAAAAAAAGAGGCTTAGAGAAGCTTCAGGAACTGAAGAAGTGGCTTGGAGAAGCTTAGTAGTTGGTTACATTCATCTGGACTTGTTCTATAATGTTGAAGGTGTTTTATAGCGTCTCAAAGCCATTTCACTTTATGGAATGTGGCTTAGAGAAGCTTCAGGAACTGTAGAAGTGGCTTGGAGAAGCTTAGTAGTAGTTGGTTATAATTCATCTGGACTTGTTCTATAATGCTGAAGGTGCTTCATAGCGTCTCAAAGCCACTTCTTCAGTTCCTGAAAAAGTGGCTTATAGAAGCTTCAGGAACTGAAGAAGTGTCTCGGAGAAGCTTAGTAGTTGGTTACATTCACCTGTACTGGTTCTGTAATTTTGAAGATGTTCCATAGCGTCTCAAAGCCACTTCAATTCCTGAAAAAGTAGCTTCAGGAACTAAAGAAGTGGCATGGAGAAGCTTAATGGTAGTTGGTCACATTCAACTGGACTTGGACTTGTTGAAGAGGTTTTGTAGCTTCTCCAAGCTGCCACTTCACT